CTTATTGCATTTTCAAATAAAATTGATGTTTTGTTTCTAGCGCCAGTAACGCTTATTAACACATAGTTTCTGTAGAGGTGGGCCGACCTGCACAATACAGGTGAGATGTTGGAAGTATGCATCTCAAGAGCGAAGAGCCTGGTACATCTGCAACCAGTGTATAGATGTATCCTGTTAACACTACTGGTACAAGATTTTATAAGTCCCAGGAACTAAATTTGTTGGGACCAAGGAAGATTTGAGACTGGGATTTATGGTATACTGGGATCAAAGATGGCAGAACTATATATCATGTGTTTACACCAGACACATACGAAAGCTGTTGGCTAGCTGCTCCGTTTTTTAGTAGTTGCTGATTCGAACCGTTTCACGTTGTACTAGGACGGATTAGATATATTGCGGTTAAGCCTAGTGAACATTCTTCATTCATAGCATTTCCAGTTCACCTCTTCTAACTGAAACAAATCCATCTTTACAGAGGTTCGAGGATACGTATGTCAACGCCTACCTCGGTATACCGTTCGCACAACCGCCCATCGGTAGCCGAAGATTTGCGCTGCCAAAAATGATTGAACCATGGCAAGGAGAGCTAGAAGCGCGAAAGCTTGCTCGTACATGTTACATCACTCCCGACAGCCAATTCCCGCAGTTTCCCGGTGCTGAAATGTGGAATCCACCAAATGTTAGCTTGTTGCTTTAACTGATTTTTTTTTCTGGTCTTTATATTTTTTTTCTCAAAATTGTACAAAAAATGGGACCGGAAAAACAAAGGTGGAGGAAACTCGACAATGTAGTAGTGATCACCTGGCCATGCATTATTGGTCAGAGAAACTGAAAAAGTTGTCAGTTTTATAGTGAAAGAACCAGACTATGGATCGAAGGATTCCAGGATTATTCCCCTCCGATGGCACTGCTTTTGACATCCCTTTTGCCCCAATTCAAGAACGAAAGCCTGACATGGTTATGCCCAGAGTCAGGGTACAATCTTAGCAAGAACAGCAACATCGGATTTTCGTAGCGATTGTCTCTGCATTCTGTAGTACTTTTGGTTCTTTCAGATCTTGCACCTTCACCTCAAACGCTCTGAACCTTCAGCGAGTCGAATTCACGGATCATAATTTTTCACCTTTTCTCAGCGATGAACATTTGCTATTTGTAGCAACCGTTCCCTTCCCGGGCGTATTGATCCCGATTGTATTATGCACCTCAAAAAGAGATGAACTAAGTTGACCAATTATTAAAGATATATGACGAGGATTGCTTGGCCTTAAATATGTGGGTGCCGGAAAGACATGACGGAAAAGTGATGGTTTGGATATACGGTGGTGGCTTCTATTCCGGTACTCCATCGTTGGATCTGTACGATGGGCGTGTGCTGGCTAGTCGTCAAAAAACAATCATTGTCAACATCAATTACAGGTAATTTGTTATGATTTATATTTGGCTAATTAACAATCCGAACAAAATTGAGTAGTCATTACTTTTCTTGCCGTTGATGCAGCTGGAACTTCTCCTCTCCATTTTACGCGTCTTTTATCCACATAATTCCTTATTAGCCATTCGAATGGATATTTCAACCGCATTTCTCCGCCTTTCCTGTTTTCTGCTAAAATTGAGTGATAATAATTTGATAATTCTCTTTTCCATCTGCTACCCGTTATTCTAACCAGATAACCAATCTAATCCTTCTTCGTAGTAAATACTGCCTAGATGATATCACCCATAAGTGAATGAAACTGCATGCTTCGCTGAAAATGTTAACTAATAAGACGAGTAGCTCTACTGAAATAAAAATTCAAATTATGAGCTAAATTCAAATTAAGTTTGAAGCCTCCTTCTGTGTTTTGGTAGTTCAAGGAGTACTTTCGTGATATTCGATTTAGGCTTGGACCCTTTGGCTTTCTATATCTTGGCGATGGTTCTTCGATACCGGGCAATATGGGTTTAATGGATCAGCAGCTTGCATTGCAGTGGATTCACGAAAATATTGACGCATTTGGTGGCGATCCGAATAAAGTTTGTTTTTTTACGAAATTCAAGGAAGGACTGAGTGGAAAGGGAACGGAAGAAGGGGAGGGGAAGAGCGATGCCGAAAAAGATACGAGTTGCGAGAAGAGGATGGAGAAAAAACTATGCATTTTAATACTTCAATTATACCAAGAATACCAAGACCGCCTGGACAATCATTATGGATTTCCTGTGTTAGTGATGTTACTGGAATGTCTTTACACGTCAGGCACAGTTGTGTCAGAACCGTTCAATCCTAAGCTGATGTATCTGCACTTGCTTGATGTATCTGCACTACTTTTGGGAGGGGGGCACTTGAATCTTAATTTATAATGCCATGAAATTGATACTTCAGGTGACATTATTCGGGGAAAGCGCCGGTGCAGCATCAGTAACGGCACATTTTTTCGCTCCTGAAAGTTCGCGCTATTTTCAGCGAGCTATACTAATGGTAAGTTTTTCTCGAAAAAGTCCCGGCAGCGCCACACTA